GGGGCCGGGGCCGGGCCGGGCCGGAGGTGGGGTCCCGAGCCGCTGCCCAGCGCGGGGGAGAAGCGCAGCGGAGCCCTGGGGAACCTGGCCGAGGAACTCAACGGCTACAACAGGAAAAAAGGCGGCTTCACCTTCCGCTTTGGGAGATGAGAGCCCGGACTCGGTTCCGCACCTCCTGCGGGTCACCCCCGTCCCGTCTGTCCCGCCTGGGTTTGCTCGGACTGAAGGGTTTTGCTGCTGGGGGTGCCCTGGGGAGGGGACGCTGCGTTTGCTCCACTCCCAGCTCTTGTCTAGATCTCCCATCCCTGCTCCCGACCGATGCAATGGAAGAAGAGGAGGGTGCCTTAAGGAGAACTCACCAAACCCCTTCCCTGATCACACCCAGCTTTTGCTGGGGCACGGGGAAAGGGCCTGGGGCTGGCTCTGCAGGGCTGGCAGAGAGCAGGGCTGGCACAATGGGATGGGCAGTGCCAGGAGGGCCAGGCAGCAGGGCTGGAGGGTTACAGCAGGATAGCCTGGTGCTGGCAGTCCCCAGAGACTGTCTGTAGTCCAGGGCCAGCCACCAGGGAGGAGAGGGTCCCCCAGAGCTCTCCACCGAGCCGCTGCTCTCCTGCCTATTAAGGAAAAGTCCCTCCAGCAGCAAATTCTGCTTGGTGTCAGGATGCCTCTCACCCGAGGCAGCTCCTGCCTGCAAAACCAGGGCAGAGCAGCAGGGTTTGAGAGAATCTTGTCCTTAGCAACCCCTGGGGTGAGCACAGGATCCTGCCCTGGCCCCACCAGCCCTGCCACAGCCCCACAGCCCTGCCCACGCCCCAGACTCCTCACCAGGAGTGACGCCTGACCTTCGATGTCCTTGTCACCACCCAGCTCCTGCTGGCAGCCTGGCCCTTCCCAACGCCTTCCTGGCCTCGTCACCACCTAACCCCAGCTGTAGCTGCTGCAGAACTTGGGTGCAGAAGGGCTGAAACAAGAACTTCTGCACCCACCAGGACCAAGGGAGGTGCTCAGTGTCACTGCTGCTCCAGTCAGCAGTGACCTTTGGGAACCATCAGCCCCAAAAGCCAGCACAGGAAGAGCCCCAGCCACTGCCTTCCCCTCTTTTGGGCAGATTTAGCTCTGCCAGTCGCAGTGTTTTCTCTGTGCCTGCCAGAGGTACCAGCAATCAGAGCTCTAACTACCTGCTGCAGGCACTGACGGCAACTCACACCCCGAGCCACGGCTGATATTTCACTGCAGGCACAAAAATGAGCCTGGAGATGATTTGCAAGCGCTGAATTGCACCCTCAAAAATCAGAGACCGTGGCAGGACTTGGTTGGGGGAGTAAAAAGATTTAAAAAAAAACCTAAATCAGGCTGCAAGATGTGCATTGTAATATCCATCAAGCAGACAGACCACTTAATGCAGTCGTGCTGGCAGCAGGAGCAGTGGCTGAGCCTGGATGGAGGAGCTGGAACCCAGGGGAGAACAGTGGTGGGGCAGCAGGTCCAGGGAGCAGTGGAGGCACAGGACCAGGCTCAGGGACACAGACAGTGCCAGGTTTGACTCTCAGGTGAGGACGGCTGCCGAGGTGAGGACGGGCATTTCCTTCCCCTGCATCCCTGCAGCCTGAGCATCTCGCTCTGGGGAGCACAGCAGCGACCACCCAGGGCACTCGGGGCGGCTGAGCCCACGCAGACCCGCAGCCCCGGCACCCCCAGCCCCATCTCCGTCCCTCCCCACTCCTGCCCCACCGAAGGATCCCCTCCTGTCTGGATCGGGACGCAGGCGCCGCGCTCGCATCGCGCAGCGGAGACGGAGCTTCATCGATGTTTCCATGGCAACGACTCCCCCCTACCCCTTTCTTTCGAGTGTTCAAACCATCAATAAACACGCACTGATCAATTTTACCCTGCGCTGGAGTCGGGGGGAGGGATGGGAGGGAGGAAGGGGAAGAGTTTTGGAGTAACTCTGGGTTCGTGAGGGCTGGTGAATCCCGGGTTTGCTGTGATGGATCATTGCAGGGGAAAGTGGCACTGACTGCTGCGGGAAGGGAGAGGAAGCCTGCTGGGCAATGCTGTGGCTGCGGGGATGCCTGGGCTCCTGCACTCAAGCCCCGGAGAGGAACAGGCTCAGAACAGCCTCATAAAAGCTCTCACATAGCGAGGCTTTGATTGATGTGCAATAACCTCTGCGGAACTCACTGGAAATTGGAGCACTTACCTGGCAGGTGGGACAGAGCTGGGCTCAGCCCCCCACCTCAGGGCTCCTTGATGGGCAGCCTGGTGCCAGCAGGGCAGTGCCATCACCCTCCTCACCTCTGTCAGGAAAGGGGCTCCTGCCAGGCTGTGACACGGGGCAGGTGAGGGGCCATGGCACCCCTGAACTCCCCCGAGCACACCTTAGGGTGCCTGGGAAGAGCAGCATTCCAGGCTCTTGATTACTGCTCCTTGGTGCTTATTGCTGAGGAGGGGAGGGAAAAGTGAATGGAAAATAAGTGCCCAGAGCCTGGGGGTGTAGCTGGGAGGAAGGAAAGGGGAACACGCCAAGAACGACCCCTGAGGGGCTGGAGAGCCCACCCTGAACACTGGACAGGATATCTCCCACAGGAAGCTAGACCCTGCCCAGCTCCTCTCCTCCTGAATGGGGTAGCAGCTCCCGAGGGGACACCCAGATCCTGAACCTCTCTGAGAGGTGGAGAGCTCAGAACTCACCCACCACCAATCCATAAGGAGCTGGATCAAAGAAGCCCTGGATTCCTCTGTTCTGGCCAGTGGAGTGAGACAGCAGCGCAGGCACTGCCACCACAGCTGGGACTGCCCATGAACAGCCCCCTGAACCTTCCCTGCCCAGCACAACCCTTGGCCCTCCCCTGCTCTCTGCTCCACTCCCGTGGGCTGCCCCTCACTGCTCCTCCACCCCGGGCAGAGCTGCAGCACTACAAACACACAACAAATGTCAGAAACCCCAAGGATCCTCTGCAGAGGAAGAGCCCGGGTTAATTGCATCCCAGGGACTCGTGAAGAGGCTCTGTGCATCATAACTGGGTCACGCAGGCTGCAGGAGCACAGGTGGGACCTTTGCAGCAGAGTAGATGCCAGGACAAACACAGAACCCTCAACAAGGGGGCGATTGCTGGGAAAACGTTCAGCACAGCCGGGTTTGCAGGTCAGCTTTCTGCTGAGCTGGATCATTGAGCACTGAGCACGGCCAGGGAGGACAGCCCTGAGCCCGGCCTCAGCACTGAGATGGCTGAGGACTGTCCTCACCCACAGCTTTAGGGGCATTGGCACTGCCAGGGCATCAGGACTGACCAGGAACTGACCCAGGAGCACCATTCTCAGCAGCCCACCCAGGCCAGGTGTCACCCTGGGACAAGGAGTGTGTGCCACTCTGCTGCCAGCCTGCTTTTAGTGCACAGGGGATGGCAGGAACCCTCTCCTCAGAGGTGACACCGTGCTTAGGGTAATTCCCTCTCTTTCCAATTGTGGAGGGATGAATGTCAGCCAAGGGAGAGGCTGAGGGCTGTCCCTGACCATCCTGGGGGACAGGCAGTGGTCTGGCACACCTGAAAATCCACTGGCCCAGCCAGGCTGCCGTGCCAGCCTCACCATAAAAACATGGGATTTGTAAGAAAAAGAGTGAGCATAAAACACTGACCACATTTTACATCTCGTGACAAGCAACTTCTCAACAAAAAGCAAAATGACATTAAATGAAAACTTAAAAGAGTGAACATTGTAATTTCAAAGACACGAAAACCAAAACAAAACCACAAACACAGCTATTTTTCCCCCAGAGCACTCTCACTTTCAAGCTCAATAGCCTTGAAAATTGGAGCAATCAAACTGTTAAATGCATCGATCTGTTAAATCAACTCCTACTGTACTCAGCTAAATTTAGCCTTTAATCCCCTCTCTCACTCCCAACACCAAAGATCCAGGGGCTTTCCCCAGCCAGGTCAACCAGTCTCTGCCTTCCCACGACAGCATGGACCAGTCCCTGAGCCAGCAGGGATGGAAATCACCAGGAGTGACAGCATTTGGGGCAGGTGAAGCTTCTCCATCTTCCCTCAGCTCCTCACCATGTCCAAGTTTGGAGCTTTGCCAGGGTGCTGGTCACAATCCCACCCAGAGCTCCCAGAGTGCTGCAGCCCTGCTCACTGCAGACCCCTTTAACTGTTGTGCCTGTGCCCTGCCAAGTGCAGGCCATTAATTTAGTTTATATTCACCAGTGCATCCTCCTGCTTCTCCTTCACCTTCCTCAGCCTCAGCAGCAGCCAATGCAGCTGCTGCCACAGCAGGCCAAGGTTTCCCATCAGCCTTGTTCCCCCAGCTCAGATCCCAGTGCCAGGACCCACAGATTCCACCAGGGACTTACTGAGGGGATTAGAAATGCAGAGAACTGGGTTACAACCCTAAAACATCACTGTGGAACTGTGGGACCTCAGGCACATCACACACTGTCACCTGCCCTTCTTTTCTTCTCATCCTTTTTCAGTCTTCAGCATCTTCATTAATCAAAGCAGTGGCTGATTTTAGAGGCTGCTCAGTACCTGGAAATGTCCCTCCCCTGAGGTTTACTAGAAAGGCTGAAGGGAAACAGAAAATAAGAACGGGCAACCAGAAATGAGGGAGGGAACTGTATGAGGAGAGAACTCATGGGTCATTTCATAGCAGAGAAGGAGGAGGAAAACACAACAGCAGCTGAATAACAGAACACAAACCATTAACAGATGAAAAGTTTAGTCAAATCTCTGATATAAATCTCCTTGAAGACAACAGCGAAGTCTTTGATTCAGAAGAGGTGATGACACAGTCTTACTCTGTGCATCTCTCTTCTCTCCTGACTTTTCAGAGCCAGATCAAAGGAACACTGGAAGGGGCTGCTGGCCTGGCTCTGACCATCCCACTGTGCTGCAGGGTCACAGTGAACCACCCAAAAAGAGAACTCCTGGTTTTGGATGAGGAGTCCAAGGGGAGTCAGCTGGGTTGGAAAAGCCTCACTAACAGACAAACACGAGTTTTCCTCAACATTGATTTATTTTTAAATATACTACGCAAGAGAGACTGGAATAAAAAACAAATCAAAAAATGGAAATAGAGAAAGAGAGAAGAATTGAAAGTCATGTACAGAAACAATCTGTACTGGACTAAATTAAAGGGGAAACGACCCCCTTAAGTATCACAGAGATGAAGGACAGAGCTATTTACACACTGTAAAAAAGACAAGTCTACAAAAGTGTGTAATAACAAGATACAAATGTATAATATAGTGGCACAATATGTTATCAAAGTAAAAACAGTACCTCCAGGAAAGAGACAATTCAAGGGTTGGGGTTTTTCTTACATTTTTAAAGGCAGCCTGTGGTAGAAGTGTGTATTTTCTTTTGAACATTTGTCACATGTTAAGTCATGGCTGTTTGTGAGGGCGAGGAGTGGCATGAACACACACGAGTGAACTACTAGAAATCATATACAAAACAAACAGTTCCAAAGAGAACAGCATAAAATACAATTGAAGGCAATTAGTGTTTAAGATACACAAGAGGGGTCACGAGTTACAGGGGAACAGAGAATGGGAAATGTGTTTTTCTCATGTTTGGAACTGTTAAGAGGAGTTAAATTGCACTGTTAATAGCCCTAAACCTTGTTCTTTCACTATTGTCACCAGTCACAGTTAGTTCCCAGCATTAATTGGGAAGGTCAGGGGACCTTGGCAAGGAAGGCCAGGAGTCTTGCTGCCAGCATGTTGTGGCAGTTTCCTCGGGAGAAGCACCCCAGAGAAATGTCTGCAGCCTCCCCAGATCCTTGTTTGATGCTGGATGGAACCACGCTGGCAGGAAGGCAGGAATGCTTTAACCCCAGAGGACTGGCACTGGAGCTCCTCCCGGGGGTTCCAGGGGCACAAAAGGGAGGCACCACAGCCCCCCAGGCTCTGCACGAGGGCAGGGGCCAGGCTCCATCTCCCTTCACAAAACAAACAGCTGGAAATTCAGCTGGAGACACAGCAGCTCTCACCCACTGCGGGGTGCTGGCTCAGCCAGAGCAGCTGCTGGAGGCACAGTGGTGCCTCAGAGCTCACCCCGAGCCACCCCTTCCCACTGCCACCCAAGCTCTGTGACCCCAAAGACCAGCCTGATCGGTGTCAGACATCACCAGAGTGCCACATTCCTCCTCCAGACCTGTTCTGCTGCTGAGGGGGATCCACAAACAGGCTCCTGGGCTGTGGCATCAGTGGGTGCTGCCTGTGAGCCCAAGCAACTCACTGGGGCTCAACAACACTGAGAAACTACTGAAAACACAGAAACTAAGGGTAGCAGGTGCAATCAGAGGAAGAATTTGGGCAATCATCACTTGTAGCATTCTGTCACTAAAAAAACCTTACATTAATAATTTCCCCCCTTCCCTCCTGAGCACCAAATCTGTTGCATTAGTGTCAGGTAAATGTCAGACTTGGGCCAGGGCCATGTGCTGGGCAAACTCTCCCAAGGAATGCAGTGGGTGTATTGCTATCCAAACACTCATCCTCATGTACAGGAGGGCAGAGGAAGGGGATAAAAATGCAGTACAAAGTCCTCCTGAGGAGGAGGTCATCTCAGTGTCCACCAGTCCGGCTTCAGCCTCAACGGTCTGTCCAGAACAATAAAATATTAATAAAAAGGCATGGTGTGACATCAGCATTTAGACTTGTAGTCCACAAGGCAAGAACTCCACAGATAAGACGATTACAAGTATATGAAACACAGGGAATCTGAGTTCAGAGGGTGGGAAGTGCCTCCTGAACACAGCCCTGCCCTTTGGAGCTGGGGTGTCCGTTCACAGTCTGCGTCCTTGGCACAGCCCTACCCGAACACCCCTCTCCTTTACCAGTCCACACGTTACTCTCTCCACAGCTGGCTTTGGCCCATTGTGATTGATTGATTCACTCGTTTGTTTCCCAGCCTGGTTTCTTGCTACCTCTGAACAATGTCGCTGATTTCTTTCACAGAGCTGAGCAGTTTGCTAAAGTCCTGCGTGGCCGCGGGGCCGCTGCCAGCGGTGGCGGGGCAGATCTGCAGCTCCCTCAGGTTGTTCTCCAGCTTATTGATGGCCTCCCGAAAGGCAAATTTGTTCCTCATCTGCTGAATGGAGTCCACGTAGCTCACGCAGAAGGTGTAGAGGTTCTTGCCAGCCTCCAGGACGGCGCTGTGGCTGGCCATCTGCTCAGAGTTCTTGCTGATGGCGAGCCGTAGAGCCTCGGTGCTTTCCAACACCACCCCCTTGGTGATGGTGCCACTGGCAATCCTCTCTGGGGGCTGCCGGGTCTTCCTCAGCGAGACCCTGGTGGATATGAGGGGGATGAAGGCTGTGGATGATGCCTGGTCCCCGCCTGGGGCAGAGGGTAGGGATGAGGAAGAGGCAGCTGGGGTTGCTGTGCTCAGCAGCAGCTTTGTAGAGGACTGTGGCTTTGGTACAGAGGGGATCCCCAGCTTTTTCACACCTTCCCCTGACTGGTTTGGCTTGACAGCATCACTGCCTGCAGCCTCTCCAACCTGAGTCAACTGTTTGGATTTCGGCCCAGACACCACATCTGCTGCTGCTTCATGGCTGGGACTGTGAGAAACCTTCCCAGGCTTGGCAATGGAGGATGAAGACAGTGGGAGTGGAGGGGCTGGTTTCAGCTTCGATAACTTCCCTTTGTCCTTCCCTGCCGACTCCGAGGTCTGCTTGAGCCTCCTCAGGCGTGGCTCCTCAGAGGAAGCTTTGCTGGCCCCCACGAACCCAGCAGGGTTGGGTTTGGCAGCAGAACCTTGGTCCATCATCACAGTGGTACCTAAGGCACTGGATTTGACTCCATCATCCTTGTGGAGCCCGCTGGAGGAAGGAGGGGCAGCAGGCTGCCTACGGCCAAGTTTTGGCGTCAGGGTGGGAGGGCTGGAGCCAGGGCTCGACTCTGCATCTTTGAACACATCATCAGCAGTCTCTTCACTCTTCTTAAGCAGCCGTGGAGGAGGAGTCACTGTTCCCCTGACAGCAATGTCACCCTTGCCCTCGTTCGCCCGCTTCCGAGGCAGCGCTGGCTTCTCACTCTTGTGCCCCCCGAAAGTGGAGGAATCAAACTGGCGTCCCGTGGACTGCAAATCCCGAGGCAGAGTCACGGATTTCCACTCTGTGTCCTTGGCTCCATGGGGCACGCAGGAGGCTGAGCAGGACCTCAAGAAACGCTTGCTGGAGTTGGAAGTGCTCTCCTCCTCACCAGCCACCCCTCGACTGCTGCTCATCGTGCTGGACTTCTTCCGTAGGTGGGGAGATAAGAACCCAGAGTTGCCAGCCACAACCCCGTTGGTGACACCAGCCCCATTGCTCGGGCTCTGGAACTTGGAGGGGTCAGCTGTGTCTGCAGGGGGGGCAATGAAAGCCCCGTTGCCAGCATCCCTGCACTCCTCCTCCCCGCCCGCCCTGCGCTCCGGGTGTCCGTCCATCTCCCTGAAGGAGCTGCTCCGTTTCGGAGGGGTAGGGGCAGTTTTCTTCTTCTTCTTGATCAGGGCACTGAAGAGGTTGTGCTTTTTGTCTTTTGGAAGCAGCCGCTCATCTTCATTCAAACTGCTCTCCAAGGCCACCCTCTCCTTCCGTGGGAGCAAGGGAGAAACAGCAGGTTCATGATCCAGGAGGTCTGCAAGGGAAAAGGGAAGTTTTCTGAGCATTGCTCAAAGAGCCAGAATAACCCATTTTCTTACAGTATGAAACCAGTGCAGCACCTCCAAAAGGTGCAGGTTCCCTAAACAGACACAACTTCAGAGCAGAAATAAAGCAAGTGCAGCCACACTCAAGCCTGGACTGAGCATGATCCATGATCCTTCATCCATTCATTCCTGAGGTGGCTGCCAAACTACTTTCCCCGTGGGTTTCTGACTGGAAGAGCAACATATAAACACTACATGTTTGTGTTCAGATTCCCCTCCTCACATCTGGAGATTTGTCTAAACTTCACACTGTGAAGAAGATAAATAGGAAGCAGCCTTTGCTTTAGTCCCTGTGCTATTGCTGTCTTTTGAATCACTGACCCTCTGAATTAATAAGGCACCTCTGTAACCCACCTCCATCCCCAGGCTCCTCGTTCATTTTCCTGATGTCATCCTTTGTGGGGAATGCAAAGAACTGTTTCATGAGCAGAAATTGAGATCAAGATATGACACCTCAGGTTGTACCACTGAGAAGATGCTCAGCTTTGTGCAGCAACAGAGAAAAGGGGCAGTGCCAGCCTCCTTCAGCAGCGCTGCTGCGGAGGGAAGCGATGGGGTGACCCTCTCTCCACTTACAAGCTGTACTTAAAAATGAGTAATGGTTTATAATAAATTCATAGAGAGTCCTGAAGGTCTCTGTGCTTGACTGACAGAGGGGCTCGTTCCCAGGCCAGGCACTCCAATGGCATTCTAATCCAAAGGAGGAATGCCTGCAGGGCAGCATATACATTTACAGCTTGACTAGGCAGCAAGAAGGGAGATGAAGCAGAGTCATAAGGAAGGATGCTTCTTAGTCACAAACTGGTGATCATCATGCTATGGGTAGGATTTTGGCTGAGGAATGGATTTTGGTCGAGGGGAGTGAATTTGAAAAAAAATATTTGCGTAGTTTGAGAGGACAACATGTTTGCACAGGAACACTGCAGATGCACCATTCCCAGGGGACCCAGGGGGACCTGGACAGCCAGAAGAGCCAGAGCATGGCCTTACTGAGTACAGACACAGTAGAGGAACAGAAAACCAGAGAAATCTAGCAGCCAGCACTAAGGATCAGCTTCCAGCTGCTGGACTTGCTATGGAAACACTGACAATTGGAAGGGAAATTGCAGTAAAACTTTATTGTGAAAAAATTTCTTCCACGGTAAAGAATGAAATGATTCCCAGCATAATGTTAAAATCATATTATGCCTGCTGTACTTTAATTTCTCAAACCTCTCAAGTATTTAAATGAAATTATTTTAACTTCAAAAGCTTGTAATAATAGGCAATTATATTTCCTATATATGGTAAATAACCTTCCTTCCTGAGTCACTGATACTTTCTTTTGCCAACATTTTAAATCCCCTCTTTTTCCTCCCCCTCTGCCCAGATGTACTTTGGTTACTGACACATGTACCACTGGGTGAATCTGACATTACACAAAAGAGGTCAGTCACATGAATGGTCAGAAGAGGCAGCCTCAACAGGAGCTGGAAAAAACCCCACTGCATTTCATTTTACATTCTTGTTTTTCAAGCATAGAGCTAGACACAAATCTCCTGTACTCATTCAGCCTTTTAGCACTGCTTTTATTACCTCGGAATGGAAGGTAAGTGCCTGAAAAAACTGATTGGAAGTTTAATTTTATGGAAGAGTCTGTAAATACCTCTTTGTCCCTCACTGAAATTATATTTGGTGCCTGCCAAGAGTAATACTCTTCTGTGCTGCAAGCACAAATCTGGTAGGATGCAACAGTGAAGAAATCTCCCTTATGGGGCTTGCTAAACCCAAGCTATCACCCTGCTTTAAATTATGCAGTGTGGTAGTGTAAAGTGGCTTGAACACAGCAGATTACCCAGCACTCAGATGCAGTGGGAGATCCCACAGATAGCTCCTGCCAGGGAATGGGAAGAGGATATGATCAGAGAGCTCTGTGCTCAGGCTCTGGTCTTTAGGGAGCTGCAGGCAACAGCCATTAAGTTAAAAGAACTCCAAGGGCTTCTCTATGCAACAGCAGGGAGATCACCAGTCCCTCAGCCAGTTAAGGATTCACACTCCCAGCTGCTGCGTGTATCTGGCTCCAGAATTAACAATCCACCTTTGCAAAAACTAATAAAAGGAGTTCTGGACCCAGGACAGCAAACTCAGCAGCCTGTCACCCAGAAACACAGCGCTGGTACAGAGAGATGGCACCTGTGATTAGGCACAGCTTTGCCTACGTGAGGGCCTGGAGCTAGATGTGCATTTCGTTTCCCCCTGTATTTCCTGAAGGAATAATGACTTTAATTAAAACCTACCACACTCCCCCTGGCCTCGAGCATGTGCAGTCTCCAAGCCCTCGTTGGCATCTTTGCTTTCGGCAGCTCTCCTCGATGTTCGCGTTTTGGTTGGCAACTCTGGGGCTTGCAGGAAATTGCTCACTACACTCCTCATGCCCTTCTTTCCCAACTCCTTCTCCACCTCTGCAATGCACAGAAGAAAAACAATCACTGCAATCAACTGAAGATAAAAAACTAGTGATCTGTTTGGAATTAATAGCACGAGAGAAAAGCGAACAACACAAAACAGGGGTGCCTTGGGGTTGTTCGGCCATTTGAAATGGGCAAACATCTCTTTAAAATGAGATGTTTGCCCAGAAAAAAATACCCACATGTAAAAAAATAACTGCTTTCTCCATCATTTACACCAGGTAGTATAAGACAGGACTGAGTTTCATTGCAAAGCAGTCTATGAATAACAGCAGAGTTAAGGATGCAGTCAGCCCTGACCTCACCCCTGGAATTGCTGGTCCAACAGGGACCCTGACCTACCATCAGATATGCTGGATTCCTGAAACATCGTTTCAAAGGCCTGATGGATCTCAGCAAAGGATGGTCTATCAGAAGGACTCCACTGCCAGCCTGAAAAAAAGCACACCACCACTCAAATCTTCCCTCCAGCAGCAGACACTCACCCAGTACCCTGCACCAGGAGGAGCCAGAAATCACAGTTCCCTTCCAATACACTGAGATAAAATACTGACGTGAAAATGTGATTTACAGGGTGCTGAGTGTCTGCAACCACTTTGGCTCAGTGACGGCTGCAGACACCCAGCACTCCCTAAATCAGGTTTTGGTGTCAGTGTGTGACAGTAGGTGCTGAGCACTGCTGGGGAAGAGTGCAGGGCACTGAGTCACAGACCAAAAGGCCACAGTGAAGAGGCACAGTCAGTCCTGCAAGAAGCCAAATGAAGCTCCTGCTTCATCCTTGGAGCACAAGCTTTTCTTTAAGTTGTCAGGAAAAAGGAGACAAAGGAAGCATTGAGATCAACAACAAATCTCCTCTCTGAGCCTGTGGGCTCCCAGTAGAGATGAACAGCTGGTTTCATAACATATTCATCCTCTAGAGAAAGCAGTTTTAACCAAACACTTCCATACAGCACTGCACCTTCCCTGATATTGGCAGGGGATTCTCATGCCTTGTGGTACATAGCCAGACCCCTGCACTTTTATTGCACCCTTGCAGAGCTAAAAAGCAACACGTGCAGGGCTAAGAAACACTTACATGCTCTCATGAGCTCATAAACTTTCTCAGGACAGCCTTCAGGACGCTCCATACGATAGTCCTTCTCCAACAGCTCATAGACTTGAGACAGGTCAATCCCAGGGTAAGGGGACATACCATAGGTTGCAATTTCCCACAGCAGAACACCAAAGGCTGCAGTAGAGAACAAGAGGAAAGGAAAAAAAAAAAGAGGGAGGGAAAAAAAAATCAGTAAGCTTTGTTTTCATCTTGAATTTGAGAGGATGTTTAGTGGGAGTAGTCACCAAACAGTGCTGCACACTTAGACCAGCCCTGGGTGGCTCAGATCCCATGCTCAGCAGCAGCTTAAATGTGAAAGAAGCCTAACAAGCCTCTCCATCAGCACACACAAGTCTCCTGCGATATGACAGGGTAGAATTAGACTAATTTTCAATGTATCAGTTGTCTCAAACCCGAACGCCTTGAGATCCTTCAAGTCCTATTAGAGGCACAATTAAGAGACTTCACAGTGGATTAGCTGAACCCGCTTCACTGCTGCACTGCAGTCGCTCCCTCAGTGTGACAGCTCCTCTCATTTGCAACCTCTCCCTGGAGGACTCGCACATTTTAATAGCTCAGTGTTTTTGGGGTGCCCTTGTTTAGCTGCAGTGTGGTCTGGAAGGGGAATTTGGGAGGTAGCAGCGAGAGGAAAGTTTCAGCAGTTGCTACCAATGAGATATGGTGAGGGTGAGACATTTTGGGCCCAGGGAAAGCTGAATAGGAAAAGGGAGAGCACAAAAAGGGTCTTGGAACAGGCATTCAAGTGGCAGCAGTCAGTGGGGATGCAGGTCAGCAGTGGGGTCAGGCAGCTAACCCAGGAGTCAGGCACACAGAATAAAACCAACACCAGTTCAACAACCTGCATGTAATTAGTTCAGTCACCCTTTTCTGTTCTTAACCTGAAGAGAAAGCGATTACAATTCTGCATAAGTAAGGAAATCACATCACATTACATGGCAACGCCACCCAGGGCAATTTACATTAGACATTTCTGTGCACAATTTTCTTTGATTGCTGTCTTGAGGCAGTGAGGTGAAAACATCTAAACCCTGGCGTGCCCAGCAGCAGCGCTGGCCTCTGGGGACAGCTGATCTCTGATGAGATCCCAAAGTCCACTGCCCCAACTCTGCTTCCTGAGGCTACATTAAGCCCAACTAAAATACCCCACATTCCTTTGGGATCTTTCCTCACCCCAAATACTCTGCTGCTGAAAGGCACCAGGGATCCTGCAGCCACCACAGCAGTACAGCAACATGCTAAGACTGTGGCAGACACTCAGCAGCCAACACCACAAGGAAACCCAAAGCAGCAGAAACACCCTGGTCAGCAATCACATACTCCTTGGGAGCCTGCTTTGGCTTTTCCTCCTCCATCTACAAAACATTTTACATCAGCCATCTACCTAAAAGTTTCTTCAACATAAAACCTTTCTCTGCACATTTTCCCCCAAACTGCAGAAAACTTCATCTCTGCTTCACTACTGTCTGTTGGTTTACACACAGAAGATGCTCAGGATATCATTTTCCAAGTGCCTTTGGGACCACATTCCACAAACTTCTATCTCATGTCACTGGGCACTTTTGAGAATTTGACCAACAGCTATTGCAGAGATATAAAACCCAAAGAAATGTACTGACAAAAGTACAATGAGATTTTCTGTGGTCAGATTTGATACAATATAGCTCAATTTAGCTAAGTCTACTCTTATCACCAGCACTTCAGGGCTCTTCAATAACCATTTGTCATCAAATTTTCCCTCTGCTTCTCCTCATCTCATTCCAAAGATTATTCTTTTAAAATGCAGAAAGACGAGCTTGGAGCTATCACTACACAGATACACACATAATTATTCTTTAAACATAAAATGAACCAGATTCTTTACTCCTTGAAGTAGTTAGAAAGTTTTTGGCTATATTATAATGTATCACTTCATAGTCCTATGCCAGAATCCCATCAAGGCAGTAGCACTGGTGCACTTCAGCCCCATTTCACACATTTTTATAAACACTACAGTACCCTTTACTTTTCATATTTGCCAACAATTCAAATATATAAAATCAGGTGAGCATTCTCTGTGCTCTGCTGAGTCTGCCTAAGCAGAGATTAGTTTCTGCACTCTGACAAGCTCACAGAACAACGTGGTTCAAACCAGAGAACTTGCTGCTCCCTGCTGAAATGTTCCACAACAGCCTCATTTCCCAGCCCTGGAAAAGAAGACTATCATCTGCATTAATTTGCCCATGCAAATTCTTACCCCAGACATCGGATTTGATGGAGAACTTGTTGTAGGCCAGGCTTTCTGGTGCAGTCCACTTGATGGGGAATTTTGCTCCAGCATGGGCTGTGTAGGTGTCACCTGTCATTAACCTGCTCAGGCCAAAGTCTGCCACCTTCACCAAGTGGTTCTCCCCTACAAGGCAGTTCCTGGCAGCAAGGTCCCTAAAAAGAAGAGGCAAAAATAGGCAATGAGAATTCTTTACTGTCTCACTTTTAGAGACAGCAAGGAAGCCTGCTGTTCCCGGAGAAACCTGGGCCTGTGTGATTATTTTGATCCAAATATTACACAGAAATTCTGGAGTTACACGCACACACACAAGAGGGAAAGTTATTTTTCATTCCATCTTCATAAGACTGTCATCCGAAATTTTTTTTTCCTTCTAATTTGAAGTGAGAGCTTCAAGAAGCCCCCTCACTTTCAATAAAAGCTGCCACCCTCAGGATAAAAATATTCCAAAGAAATGTCAGTGCTCAAGTTATCAATAGCTGGGATGAACACTGAATAAACTGAGTTTCAATTCCTCACTTCTTGCCCACCTCTGTGGCACTTCAGTCACCCTGGCCAACACCAGTAGTTCTCCAGAACTCCTTTTCCAGTCCTTGCTTAAGCACCAGGATGAGCTCCCAGCCCTGCTCTTCCTCCTCCCAGGTGTACCACCTTTCACAACACAACTTGTTCAAAAACAGCATTTGGCCTTTGCAAACCTGCTGGAGCCTCTGCTATCAGTGCTGGCATTTTCAAAGGACTAGGCAAAAAGCAGATTTAACTTTGCATTTTTTTTCCATCACTGGCCCCACCCTGGCAGGTGAGAGTGGCATTAGCCACTTCCCTGGCTTGTACATGCTGTTTGCATGCTTGGAAATGCTTCAGGAGGATAAAAATGTAAAGCACAGAAACACATTTCCCATAATATTAGGTTTTGTTAAAAACACTTTTCCAGATTATGTCACATTGAACTAAAAATTGATTGTACCAGGAAGCTCCTGTGAGATCTTTAGATATGAGGCAGACACTGCTGTTTCTGTTGCTTGTTCTGCTCAACTGGAATAAATTAAAAAACAGAAAAAAAGTACATCTTACTGGATGCCCATTTAAATTTCACAGTGTTTTTGAATGTACCTTCTTATCAATGCTGATTACTACAATGTGTATCTAAATAAAAGCTCCTCTCCATAATCAAATTCCTCCTCCTTCCGGATTCATTAAATGAGGTCAGAGCACAGCATTTGAATCCATGGATGTGAATTGTGACAACACTCTTCAAATAATTGGGTAGGTGGTTATGGGGGTGGCTGATAAGGAAAAAAGCTACTATTTATTTTAGATAAATGGGTCATCAAAAGTAAGAGGAAATGAAATGAATGGCAGAGAAGACAAATGAGATTCACACAAAGGAGTTTTTAAAGTTTACTTCCTGCAGGCTGAAGGGACAAAATCCTTTCAACAGAGCAAATCAAAGGCTGGAAATTTTAATTGGCAGCATCACTGTTCAATTTATTGACTGATAGAGACATTTAAGCAGGCCTTTCAAGCAGCAGAGGCAACTCACGGCTCAGAAGAGCACCTAGAACTTTACACACGATCTTCATATTTGTCTCTATGAAAACAAACCATGTGCTAATTCCATATTCCAGTTAATTGGGCAGGAAAGGTCACGCTACGACACCGAGAGCATCTTGTACAAAGCTCAGCCACTCTCGAGCCCTGGCCCAGGATGTGTCATTACATTGCCAGGAGCCCATTTCTGCAGACAAGGAACGCAAAGCTCCAGCCATAATTGCAGCACACTTTAAAGGTCAGAGTCCCTGAGACTTTTAAGACAGTAGAAATGCTTATTAAAGTGAATACACAATGTGGACAATAGCATGGAACAATCCCTGCAGTGGAAAACAAAGTGAACCAAACAAGAAAGAACAGGGGCTGGGGCGGTGCTGGGAGGGTGACTCTGCTGTGGGGACCTGCACACATCCAGCATCACCAACTGCAGCTGGTTTGAAAGGCTGCTAGAAACAAGGAAGCGGCTTATCTAGTCCATTAAAAGTCCACTACTTTAGGCTTAAATTCACATTTGAGGCCTTGCCCAAAACATGAAAGTACTGATGTGTCTTTCACCTGCATCTACTTCAAAGGCAGGAGAAAACCCTGAGAGAAAACCCATCCTTTTGGGCAGGTTAATAGACTGTGCCAGATTTGCACCAGTGTGTTAAATACATGACACCAATCAATGCTGTGATACACTGAAAGGGAGGAAAATACATCAAGGATTGTTCTGTGCTCAAGATTCAAGGGTGCTCACTGTCCTTCCTACCTGTGGATGAAGTTCTTCTTCTCCAGGTACTCCATGGCTGAGGAGATCTGAGTTGCCATGTACAGCAGCACCACAGCATTCACCTCCTGCCTGTTACACTCCCGCAGGTAATCCAGCAGGTTCCCATATGTCATGAACTCTGTGATGATGTAGAAAGGAGGTTCCCGTGTGCACACCCCTGGGGAATAACAGAAAGTTGACAGCGAATGTTGGAGAACATCAGTGAATCTTCAGGTTTCATCCTAGAAGGCAATTTGTACCTCCAGAAGGCAGAAAAATGGAGCTTGTGGAAAGAATGAATTCTGCTTGGAAGTGGTTAATAGAGGGGCTTAATTTTCTGCTTCAGCCTCTGGCAAATTAAACATTAGGGAGACGAGATCATTAAAAATCATGTATTAGTGGTACAAATTGTGAATTTTGCCAGACAATAAGTGCCTGTATTTAAAGCCTTGGTATGGTAAGCAGCTTATCTGCTCCTTAACATCCATATCACTGCACAAGGGTTTAGTTCAAATCCCTCTGCTGGGTATTTATCACTTACCTAATAATTGCACCAAGTTTGGATGCTTGATCTCCTTCATTACTGCAGCTTCTTTCAAGAACTCTTCCACCTCCATGGTATCCTCCTGCAAAACAATAGCAAAGCTTTGGCAAAGGCAGTGTACACAAAGGAGAAACAGATTTTTCTATGAGGACACAAAAAGAACTGCAAACTGACAACATACGCCACAGTTCTCACACAGTAATTTTTCCCTGTAGCCACAACACAAAGCCAGGGAGTTACAAACATTAATTTTTTGTATGATTTTAAAAATACATATTTTTGTCATTTTCATACTAGCTGAGCTTGCTGGGGCAAGAAAATCCATATCCCTTTTGTGAAAGGTCTCTCACAAAACGCTTGGGAGCGGAAAAGGAAAAACAAGCTTGTTCCTAACAGAAAAAAAAAATAACATTAAATAAAAAGTACAGAAAAGGAACAAGAACGAACATAAAAGAAAGGATACACCACAATCAAATGCTTGAGAGGCTGCTGAAAGGCAGGCCCTTGTGTTCACTGAGCAGGAACAAGAAATCCCCTCTCTCAGTCAGGGAGGCACAACCGATGGCAGCCGTGGTGTGACTGAAAACCTAAGGTTTCACAGATTAATTCCTGGCATTTAGAGCCTGACCCATGACATACCCATTCTGGGTAGAGGTTACTGCCAATTTGTTGGGCACCATAACGTTACTTGGCACAGCACAAAACCAAGGAAGATACAATCTTGCTCAAAAGACAAATTTTTCTGAAGCAGATACGCCCCAAATGGCCAGAAGGTCACTTCAAAGTGGTGCAAAAATACAGATCTATTCCTAAAGCAATGTTTCTTTCTATATCCATATTTTTTTCAATGATGGATTAATGTTGACAGGCTACATGGACAAAGTGTTTTAGGGAAGGATTGGAAAGGATTTACTGCTGCTGGTGAGAACGATAACAGTGGGCTGCCACTGTGAGATCCAGCCAGCTCCCTGCTCTGCACTTAGCACTGAGACCATTTTTCCAACACTTCCATTCAATCATTTACTATTCATTGCCAATTAGCTTGATTGACAGCTGCGATTTGCTCAACACACTGTCAAAACTAATAGTCCAAAGGTCCTTGTGAGCAGAACCTTAAACTGTTCTCTTTGGCAAAGGCAAATGGGTTAATAATCCAGGCTGCAAAATTATCCTAAATATCCCTTTGTCTTATTCATGCTACACAAACCTTGGAAGGTTTGTCCTTTGCATAGCTGCTCCACAGTTTGAAATTTCTTGCCTCTCAGTGACCATATTAATAGGAAGGACACATACAGAGAACCACTGTAGCAATGACCTCTCTGAAAACCTGATCTCGTGGAAAGGACCAAGCTTTAAATGGCTTCCAGCTCCCACTATACTGAACCATGGCAGAAGTAAAACAGTTCTGGCTGTCCAGCATTTTCCCAGCACAGCACAGGGCCATGCCATGGCATTAAGGGACACCAGGGTTACATGTTGCCTAATTTAAAACACAGGCTTCTCTGCCAGGGAAAAAATAAAGGAGAGAGAAAAAAAAAAAGAAAGAAAGAAAAATCAGCAGCAGTCCTAGGGGCAGCAGAGCCGAGGTGAGCAATAAGAAATGTGCTGAGCTGACCAGCTCCCAGCAGCTCAGCCATTAAATGGCCCTCAGGAGAAGCAGCTGTGGCCAGAGTCACAACTGGCTGCACTTGGCCCAGTGCAGGTCACAGAGCCCCTGTCCCCACAGCCACTGCCTTCTGCTCCTGTCCAATTTGGGGTAACACCACAAATTCAGAGTGTGCCCTGCTGTAATAACCCCTGATAAATACTGGGTCCTGTGCAACTCACAGAGCTGCCAGGGATGGATTTTAACAGGCAACATCTCATAACCAAAACATGGTCTTGCCCTCTGCAGTTAAATGCTGAGGAACAGCGTGTGCTGCTTCCATCGCTTCTTCTCCAGTTCTGAGCCAGCCACGAGCTATCTTTAGACACTTGACAGAAAACTGAACAACAAATGGGTGTTCATAAGCATCATTATTCAAAAAGATGCTGGGAGGACTTTTTTCCTCCTCTCTCTTTTAGTCTTCGCTCTCCTTTATCTTTCTTATAGAGATATCTGAGGTAGAGGGGGAAGGAGCAAGAAGAATCATACAAAGTTTTGAAAAACATTCTCTCAAAGGAAAATAAAATGAGTCATCCAAAGATTCAGGCAGAAGCTGCAAAAGGCTTGTTTTTCCCAGTAGAACTGGGATATAAATGTGATTTTAAAATGTTTCCCAAAACTCTGAAGAAAGCTATAATCCCACCTGTCAGGCAGTAGACTAATGGATTTAAAGAAGGTGGATTATAAATTTGCTTTTAAGGATGGTTTTAGCGTACGTAATTGCAGGTTGAAGTGTTTCTCAACTCTCTTCCTGGTTGTTCTTACACTCCCCAGTGGATCATGCTGCTCCATACTACATTATGAACCACTTTTAGTCGTGTTTCATTAAATATTTATTTATTTGAAACAGCCATGGTCTGTATTAAGGTTTCTCCTTTGCACAAACAGATTTGATGGGATAACATGCAGCTTGTCTTTGTTGATGGGTTTTAGGGAGAAGAGAATGAAAGCAACAACTTCAGTTTGGAGCAAAATGGGAAGCCTGAAAGCACCAGGAATCCTCACACACTGCAACCAGCAGCAGGAAGATGTTCCTGCAAGCCGTGCTCCAGGGAAGAGCTGAGCTGTGCTCAGTGTTGTGTGAGTGCTCAGGTGTTGTGCTGAACCTGGTCACATCCCACCCACCCGCACCACAGAGCTCCAGCAATCCCGAGCAGGGACAACACTAGATGTCACTCGCTCCCTGTGCAAGCTGCACTTGGACTCCCCCGCCGGGAGCAGCAGCAGGAACCTCCAGAGTACAGAAAAGGCCAAAATGAAAATACTTTCTGCAGCCATGGCAACCTAGAAGTACTGAGGCAGCCGCCGCTCGGAGAGCAAGGAAGAAATATTTTCCCCAAATCAAGGAAAAGTTCTTCCCCTGACACTGAAGCATCTACACAGTTCTCTCCACTTCAAAATTTCCATTGCAGAAAAACCAAAAGAAACAAACGAAACCCTCGGTTCTGTTTGTTTCTGCAAGACCAAACCATGTCCCCATTCGAGGAGAGAGAACATGGTGTCAAGTTTGCATAAACTCCTATTAAGCAATCAAATGCAATGCATGCAGATGGTGCCAGAAGATCTCAAGACAGTTTTATAAACATAGATGAATTAAGAAATGACCTTATGAACTCACAGAGCACTATTTGCATTTCAAGAGACAAGGAAACCAAGACGCAGAAATCAGGGAGCAGAGCCAGAAACAGAACTGATTATCCAGTTCTTCATTAAAGCCACTTATGAATTTTAATATACCTTAGCTTGCATACCATTTTTCCTCCTCTTGTGTCTTTTGATAAGAAGCAGCTGTGAACAGTTGCTTAAGACTTCCAGGTACATAGGGAGCTTGTCTTTTGGGAAAGACACCACATAAGACAGAAAATCAAAACATGTAAAGCCTCCCTGAAGCACAGCCTTTGAATTTTATGTTGACTGACTCACAATCCACAGTTTTCCTTAATACACCAGCTTGTGCTGGTGTGTTCATCTGTGAACAGCTCACCTCTACCACACCCTGCACACGAGACACCGCGGCACTATTTGCTTTTCTAAGGTTTCATCCATTCTCCAGTAAAAACTGTGCTGTTAACATCCTCCTTTGTTTAGATACGAGTGCTATAGGTATCACATAAACCCTAAGAGGATCAGGCTCTTTTAAAAACACTCTATTTCCAACCTACAGCACTCAAAGGAAGGCCCACCATCAACGCAAATACAACTGGAAGTGAGAGCAGACAGCCAGCCTGAACTTGCTCCCAGCTGAATGGGGAACGCTCCGAGACCGAGTCCTACCTTGAGAGTTTTCACAGCCACTGTCAGGTTGTACTTCTTCCAGACTCCTTCGTAGACCTCTCCATACTGGCCTCCACCCAGCTTGTGCTTCATGGTGATGTCGGTGCGCTCGATCTCCCACTTGTCGTAGTTGGGGGACACGCCGTAGATGGTGGGCTTGTTGCGCTTGGGCGCCGGGTAGTGCAGCGTGGTGATGAGCCCATCTGCCACGGTGGAGTGGTGATGCACCAGCTCTGCCAAGGTGTTGAAGCGGCTCTCTGAAGACACATAGAGCTGGGAACCAAAGGGGAAGGGAAAAGCTCGTTCAGGTAATGCCCCTCGGGGAGCTCGCACACAGGAACTGCATTGTAAAATTGTGAAAGCAAAATGTGGCGTTGCTTCTACTCGAGCCAGGGAACTGGGAGCTCCACAAGCTCTGCAACCAGCTCCAGAGCCCAGGACAACCAATGCTTACATGGGAAAGGCACGGATTCAGGAGAAAATACATGCACTTTGCCAAAACAACAGGGCAGGAATGGCTGCAAATAGCACTAGACTGGCATGCTGTTGCTTGAGATGTCTTTTTTCAAAAGGCTGGTCAGTGGGACATTCCTGGAGAGTATGGGGAGGTTGTCACCTTCAGTGTCTTGACTTCACTATTACTGTTTGCGTTATGACCTGCCTAAATTCTCCCTGAAGCATCACTGGCAAACCAGAGCTTTCCCTGCTTTAGGCCTGAGCTTCTGCAGAGGTTTAGCACGAAGTGAGGAGCTGGTCTGCTCCATCCCTGTGACGGGCACTGATCAATAGCACAGAAGGAAAATCATTACCATTGAATGAAAACCTGCTGCGAGGCATGATAACCCATATTTGTTACCTTCTTAACATTTATACAGAAGATCCATTTTAAGCCTAAAATCCTGCTAAAGATAATGGACAACTGACTCCCTCCCACCAGAGCTGTGTTTTTTCCAGTTTTCATCTTCAAGCCCAGTCTTCTACCAGGCAAGCTGAAAAAAGCTAGAAATTTAATTATTTCAAAAGTGCTGGTTACACCTGAAGGAGACAGAGAAATCTTTGTATCAACATGCATTTTGCGTCATAGTTTAGCCTACAACACAGAAGATGCAAGAGCCCCATTTCTCACAAAGGACCAAGGTTTGGCAAGGGACAAGCTTGCAGGAAGAGCAGCACCATGTTAGGCCACCCAAATTCCTGTTCAGTCCACAGGCTAGTCCCACTGCTCACATCACATGCCAACAGCTATGATCAAACTTCACAAATGCTTCTGACACGCTGGATGTACACTCAACAGTTTCTGCATGTGCACTGGCCATCTGTTTGGGATTTCAGGAGGCTGGGAAGTTGATGGGGCTGCCAGGCATCCAAAAATCCCAGACTTAGGGTAAAATTCCACTTCTTTCACCTAGACAGAATATTTAGATGGTAAAAGAAAATGCATCCGTGAAGCTCCAGCAATAAGAGAGTATCACCAACAAAAAAGGGAGCTGCACTTGCAAGAGAAAAAAACATTTGCAGGAAGGGACAAAACCACCCTCAAACTTGATTAGTCTTTTTAATGAAGACTGGAAAATAATGGCAACCTCCTGGGGGGCACGTTCACAACTCTACCAGAATTAATCAGATATTCCTCTGAAATCTCATTTCAACACTATGGCTAAAAAAATTCCTCTCCAACAAAACAAAAAAAAACCCCAACCAAACTACAAAAACCTACAGCGCTTTTCATGATCAAACAGGTGCAATCACCTTAAAACCAGATGTTCTCAGAACAGAAAAGTGACAACATAAGAGGCTGTTACAGCTGCTTGGTGTGAGTGACCAAGCATTAGTCAGTACAATCACAATTTAGAACAAGCCATGCCTGTTTGGGAACGACTTGAAGTACTTGCAATGGTATGAGCAGCTCCCATGTTACACTGAGAATTAAAATCTAAAAATATGGATGTAGAAAAAGCTGAACTCCAGGATTACTTGGAAGTATTAGAGAGCATGGAGAAGGAAGCTCCCCCATGGTTTTATGACAAGTTATATCTCATGAAAATTAGAGATATCTGTATTTAGTGTGACAGATTGTATGATCCTGTTACAGAAGGAGAAAGAAGCTAAATAAATGACCAAAGATTTTAGAGAAAAGCTGCAGCAGGATGAGGACAGCACAGGACTGCCCTGTCCAGGCCACAAAAACAACACTCCATGCCTTAACACTCATGAAGTTTTCCATTTACATTAAATTAAACTTCCACATTAAACATGTTTATTCTGTAGGCAGGTTTTTTCTAACCTCTCACCAATGACACCCAACCAGAAAACCACGTGGTGCTGCTGACTTGTACTCTCAGAGAGGTGACAGACCCAGCATCTGAGTTTTACAGACTCAAGTTTGCTTCCTGGCTATGTTGTTGACATGTTATTTGGTCAATTTTTGTGTATCAAACAAACCATAAACACCAGTCCTGTTCAAGGGGCTCTGCTTGCAGCAATGGGCTGCTCATCTGCACTTCTGCCACCAGACCACATCTCTTTTTCCTGGCTGGGGTATTTTGTACAGGTGGTTAAACTGGCCCGTGCTAACCTCAGCACATCCTGAATCCAGTGGCACTCCTGCTCCGCACTCAGTAGACAAAATTGAACATCCCCACCAAAAAATCCACGGAGGTTCAAGTCTGCATCCAATTCAGCCACTGGAAGATCCAAGAGACTCATGCAGGACCCCAGTCCTGTTTCCTTCCTGCTGAGGACAGCAGGATTTAAAGAACTGGCTGGACAAGGCTATTTATTCAGTTGGGTTACTAATAGGTTTTCCCTCAAGTACTATCAAGCCAGGAAAACCAAGGCCTCTGTACCACGGAAGTGGTTTACCAGATGACTGGCTGCACTGTGCCAGCCAAATCAAGAAAGGTCACTTTTAATACCTTCCTTAAAAAAACCCAACCACCAAAAGAAAACATTAGAGGGTGGTCCAAAATAATACAACCCATTAAAGTGGGAAATAAAGAAGAAATTCCCAGAGGAATTTTTTTGAAGTTGCTGAACGCCAATGCATTCAATATCATTTGTACTAAAATTAAGATGTACAAACCTCTGATCTCTCTAGTCCCTTCAATTTTCTCCCAGGAAAAAGTCTGGGTAAAGCTTTGCAATGCAGGACACAGCACTGTGCTGAGCAGCAGCTGCTCCACGTGTTCCTCTAATACCTCTTTCTCCCAAAGCATGCTCTGTCAGGCACAGGATATGATCCCACCAAAGCCATTCATCCTTACTGGGAGATATTAAATTCCCTGGACAGGCTGACTAACGATACAGCAGGCTGGGAGGGCCCCAGGTGCTCAGGGCAGTGAAGGTAAGAGCTTGCTTTCCTCCAGCACAGCCACGATCTGCTGCGAAGCCAGTAATAAATAGAGAGTGACACGAGCAGCTCAGAGCAGGACCTGCTCCAGCAGCCTCCATTCTGCAGAGGGATAAACAGGGATATTGGCTGCTTCTCTTCCCAGCTCCTCAGCTTTGACAGCCAGGGACAGGGTGCTGGAAGAGCACAGTGTCCCCAGCCCAGCAGCACATCTGCTGCTAAGATGTGGCAATTCACTGCCCGGCTCGTTAACGCAAATTAAAACCGATGAGGTTTAACACGCCAGGCTGTGAACTGCAGCACATGATGCATGGACGTGGCAAACTGCCCCTTCTGCAGGGATGCTGGCACTTGGCACAGCATCAGGAGGACTGTGGCTACCTCTGTGCTTGATCCTGCAACACACAAAAGCCACAGGTCTCGGTCACTGCTGCTGCTCAGTTTCGTATTTCCAACTACCATGGGCTGCAGATCTGCTTCAGTGAATTGTTCCAACCTGTGCTTTTTCTCAAAAACACCAATGCAAGCAACTTTGTGGAAAATGAACAGTTAACCTGGCTAACACGGACCTGAATGGATTACTGGAGCTCTGCAGAACTGTTTTTCTGGGATAAAAACAGCTCTGCTGGGATGAAAGCCTTCATATGCCAAACTCCATTACAGCTCAAATGGAGAACATGTGCTGTCTCCTCACGGACACATGCTTATTTACACCAACCCAAGAGCCCTCGGTTCAAAACATGTGAGCACTGCTCATCTGCCAGCATCAATGGGAATAGAAGGAATATCCACCACAGAGACAGGAGGAGGAATAATATTCCAGGTTGTCATGTAGTCCTTCAAGTATGCTGCATGTCAGCTCTTCACAGAGCTGATGCTGACCACAGAGAGTGTCTACATGGGAGGGAGAAGGAAGAATCAAAATGCCATAAGCTGGAAATATGTTGCCTTAAATAACATGGTCAGAATTGTCTCAAATTACAAGCCATTTGCTAAAGGGGACAAAAAGTATTTCATCACTGAATAAAATCTGGTTATCTTACTGGAGGTTTTAGAGTGCTGAGTCTGATAAATAGGAAACATGGTGTAACAGTTCCCTGTATTTTCGTACTAAAGATTTTGCTGTCAGCTTTGCTGTAAGAAGAGTAAAGGTCTCACAGGACAAAGGAAAATTGGGCACAGTGGGCTGCTACTATACTTGATTACTCTTATTTTTTTTCTTTTGAAGAAATTTAATGGCACAGAATATGTCATCTATTAGATGCTGGCAATAAGAGCCTCAGCAGCCATGCTCCAGACCCACACTTTAACTTCTGCACAGGATCTAAAAAGACACTGCTTAAAACAGATTTATTAGAAAACAACATTTTCCAAATTCCAATGCCAGTAGAAATGTTTCCATGAAATCAAAACAAAAACCTGTGGAAAACTACACTTTTATGCTAACATTTTTCTGCAGCATCCACAAAGCACAGCATTGCACCACTGCTACAGCACACAACAATCTAGGGAAAAAATGAAGGAACTGGGGACAAAGCCCATATAAAAGTGAAAGTGCCTACCCGTCTCCAATGATCACGCTGAAATACTGTAGAGAAATCAAAACAGTAGTTAAAAATACTGCAGAATACCTCAGAAAGCATTCTGTCCCTAATATTTACAGGCTTATTAGCAACAGGCGCTGACTTTCCTGATTTGACAGTCAGAGATTATCTACTGAACATAAGGGACAAGAATTCTCAGGATCTCTTATTAACGATCTATTAGATTCTGCTCTGATCTAGCTCTACTACTTTCTCCCTCAAAGAAAGGGAGAAAAAGCTTCTATTAGTTTGCTGAAGGAACAGAACTGTTTTGTCCCATGTCAGAATCTCACAGTTTACTGCGACAGAGCGCAGAACTGCTCCGTTCCACTTCTACCGCTCCACCAAATACCCCAGCAAGGTGTGCCCAGCCTGGAGGCAGAGGTTTGCCTACCTTGCCGTCGGAGGCAGTGTTGATCCTGTAGTGGTAGACCCTGCCCTCGTAGCGCAGGGAGATGGATCTCTGGCCGGGGCTGCTCTCGCTCTCGCGCACCAGGAAGCTGCCGTTGATGCCGCTGCTCAGCAGGTACTCGGCGGCGTTCCGCGACACCGGCCCGTGGTACCACGAGTGCTTCTCCAAGCTGTTCACCGGCGTGATGTAATTGCTGGGGACCCAGCCCTGCCCGTTCTTGGTCTGAGCCTCGCACCACTCCCCATTGTGATTGTAGCCCAGCACACGGAGCTTTTCACCTTGGGGAAGGGAAAAATGGGTTTAGACATGGTAAGCCCTGGAGTTGAGGACAAAGATAAGTTCTTTCTGCCCAGCAGATCATTAAATAATCTTCTGTAAGAATAGGTATCTGACTCAGCAGGGAGCATGTGTTTCTCTTCAAGCTTGAGTGGATCTCTCCAAGCCAAATAAAGTCACATGCTTCAGATTTTTAGGCTCTCCTGCAGTTCTGCACCAGCTCCAATACTGCTCGAGTTCAAAAAATGAATCCAGCAAATTTTATTTGAACTGAGTTGGCTTGTTGGATTTAGGAAAGAACTGGAGTGGATAAACAATAAAAAAATAATTTCAATTAGGAAGGTAAGTAGATGTGACTTGGAGTACATACAGTGTTTTCTTACTCAATCCTTCTGAGTCCTTATATCTGTACAGTCATTTTTCATACAGGGACTGTGTTTTGGAGAACTGTGAATATAAGAGGCCAGCCTCCAAAATCAGCTTAGTTTAATTTCTCAGTTCAAATTCTTGATCCTAATGGAGAATTTAGTTTGACAAACAGTTTCTTGCCCAATGCAATAAAGAAAGACAGTTATAACCTTTAAAAAGGTCATGACTTTGTGAAATATTTGTATTTGTTTAAGATGATTTCCCACAGTAAAAAAAATTCCACAGGGTTTGGTGCAGAACTTAATTATTTCACAGTGATTTTCCTTCCTACACCTTTCCTACACTCCCAGTGGAATTCTGGCCAGTGACCTTACCTTTAGTTATGCTGAGAGTGTTGTCCCCACTCGCCACAAAATCATACAGTGCAACAAAGAGATGGGGGTCATTTTCACTAGGGCAGGAGAGGAGGTTTTCCTTGGAGTTCCAGCGAGCTGCTTCGCTCAGACCCTGCGGCTCAAAGTCTGACACTACCGGTCTCTGAAGGGCTTCTGGAGGAGAAAGAGGGAGAGAAAGGAAAAAGCAGGTTCATTTTGGCTGATAAAAGCCATCTGGCCAACCCACACGCTCTGACTTTCTAGGTTGCATTGTTTTGTGACACGTGTGCTCCTCGTGCGTCAGAGGACAGATATGGACAGTGCCTTAATGCAGATCTCCTGCCACACAGGCAGGACACTCTTGTTCCAGAGCTGTCCCCAACCCTCCCAGAGCCCCCAGCTCCTGTCTCTCAGGAAATGCAGGAAAGGGAAAGCCCTCCTCCATCCCTCCAGTAAATGCAGCTCACGTAGGCTGTTTGTTGCCTGTAAATCCTTTGGCTCACATCTAACTGCTGGAATGGTTAAATCTGAAAACAAACCCAAGACCTTTAAAAGGTAAATCCCTTAATTATCCTATAAATGAAATGGCTAGAATAAGCAGCAAATGGAGCCAAACAAGGTGAGATTTATAAGACATGGTATTTAAGGAGTTAGGTCTTTCTGGTCTTCACAGTTTTTTTTAATCATTTCTCTTCTTATTTGAGGACAAGGCAGTATTTTTTGTTGCCCTCTCTCCTGCCCATCACTCTCAAACCACAGCAGTGTTGAGCATACTTCTACATTTTTAGGAACCCTAACTCCAAAGACAGAGAATCCTGAAAACTGAGCTTTACAGGTGAGTAAAAATCAACCTCCAAAGTTTTTTATACACTGCAGCACATTAGGCACACAATATTCAGTAAGTATCAGGCAAGTCCCAATACATCAGGGAATTTTACTGCAGTTGTTCCTGCAAGTCCTTCAATTTGGGGCATGATTGTAGAGTTTGGAGCAGAAATGTTCCAGATAACTGTGGCCCCTCACTCTTTAACACGCTACCCCCAGATGTGCTGGCAGCACCGTGCCTGACTGTACTGGCACAGAGCCAGGACAATAAGTTGTGAAACTCTTGTATTTTGAAGGGTCATTCTCCATCTGGATGAGTTTGTTGAGTGAGGTCACAGAGTTGCACACAAAGCACTGCGTCAGTGCGGCTCTGGGGACAGGAAACACGGCACTGTCACAGCAGCTCCTTGCCCCATGGAACTGCCCCTGTCTGCTGAACCCCTCTTCTGCACAGACACAGAAATTCCATGCCAAGCATTTCCTAGACTGTCAGGTCACCCGGGAGCACAGATCTCTTTTTATACCTGCAGTACTCAGTAGCATTGTGCTGCTGTACAGATGCAATCCTGTCAAAACATGATTTTTAACACTACTGTTTGTTTGGCCAGGAAATTGAGTATAAGCTGTGCCAGTAAACCAGTGAAAAACTGATGCAAATGACATCAGAAAACGCATGGAGGTTTAGTGTGGACTGGGACACGTCCAAAATATGTTCCCAATGGGAAAATGCTAAAAAAAATCCCATCAACCCCCCAAAATTCAACCCTATAAATCATAACAATACACATTATTTTCTAATATCATTTTTGATAGTGAAAATGCAAATAGTAGTGCTGGCCACTATTTACCCAAAGACAATCTGGCATCCTTGATGTGTTGGTCAGGTGACTACTGGTAAAGGCTCTCTGGGTGGTTATTTATGTACATGAGTACTACTGTATTCCTTGGAAAGTGTATATGATGTATGTGAGCAAAATAACAAATACAGACACTGCTGCGCCTGTTTTCCTAGCCAAACTGTAACTGCAGGGAGATATATTTCCATAGTGAATCAGAGCAGTTAAATAATTCCACTTTCTAAACGATTCCACAGTCAGAAAAAGTGGTAGTATGTTGAGGGGTTATTTTAAAGCACCTTGACATCCTGGCTTCCTCTTCCTGTGTCCTGCAGAATATATTTTAATAGCCTGGGTTTCCCTCAAGAGTGACAATGAGACAAGAAACAGAAAATCCACTTTCAGAAATTAAGCTATAATCATTTTACCGTGAAAACGCTTTGAAACCCATTAAGCTCCCTTATCAAATACAGGGCACTACAGTGATGGGAGATACTCCAAGGAGTTGAACCATCAGTGAACACCTGGAACAGACAGACAGCAAAGCTGCAAGTGGCAGACACAGAACCTCAGCAAGCAGGGATGCTGTGATGCTCTCCCCCAAATATGGGACAAACCAGCACTCTCTGCTCCGTGGGATGGACCATAACCTCTGTTAGGAAGGAAAATACCTCCCACACGGGGCACTAATTCGACAGGAAGGCAGGAAATCCAAGGCAGGCTCCCCTCCAACTCCAGCACATCGCAGCCCAGTGAGGATGGCTCAGGCACAAACAGGGTTGGGGATGTGGGAGCAAAGCCAAGCGCTCCACAAGAATCCCTCCCTCGTGCCCAGGCCGTGGTGAGGCTGGGACTGACTCACTCCACATGGATGCCAAGGTATGTGCTTCGATTCAGCTGTGAGACAACACCATGCCAGTGCCAACAACACCCACGAGTGCGGCACGGAGTCGGGGAAGGCTGGCTTTGCTCGACGACATTCCCACAGACACTGACTCAGTGATATGCCTGCAACAGCAAGGACCTGCAGCAAGGGCTGGTAAACACACACATGAGAATTTGCTAAGCTGGAAAACCACACCGGTCTCCCAGTGAAATCAAGGGATGCTCACACCCTCTGTCTCTCCCAGTCTGTCCCTCCTGTGCAGCCACAGGCACCCCAACAGAGGTGTGGGCTGTGTGGGAATGTGCTGAGCAGGAGAGCATGATGGGGACATGCCAGACAACTCTTGGGCTGAGTGGGGCTGGTTTTTCCAGAGGTTGGAACCCCAAGTTAAGAACTGGGGTGGGGAAGGTGGTGAATGAAGCCTGAAGAGTGTCCAGAAAGGGAGGATGAGGCCCTGAGTCAACACAGAGAAGAGCGTAAAGGAAAGAGCAGAATGGTGGTGACCCGAGTGTAGCAGAAGCTTGATAGACCGTGACAAAACACACTTTTAAAGGTCTGGGCCCCAAGAGGAGCCTGTCAGCAGACTGAGGACACAAAACCATGAAGCGAGAGAAGCAGACAGGACATGTCCATCTGGGAGCCACGTACAGCCGGCTGTCAGCAGCGCTCATCCCTCTGAGCTATCCTCCAGCAAATCTGCCCAGACACTCCAGTCCTTCAGAGCAAGAATTAGACGTTGCTGTTCCTACATATTGAGAGTCTTTTTCAACACACAGCTTCTTCACCTCCTACTGCTGGTTTTAACTACAATTTTACAGCACTGCTGAGATTTTCAGTGGGCCAGGTTCCTCCCAATAAATCAGCCTGGCTGCTGTACCTACAGGAGGCCATCCTGGCACGGTGATGGGGCAGGAAGCGAGCGTAATTCAATCTGTTATCGCCGGGCTGTCGTTCCTTCCACACATCCACTTTGTCTTGTGCTGCATCCCAGCAAGGCTGCAATTTATTACTCTGCTCTGGATAACACCTGGGTTCCTGACAGGAGTCCTAAAGCAGCACTGTAATTCAGTTCTCCACTAACATCAACTAAATGATGGCTCTTAATTAAAGCGATGCAGACTTTGAAATAAGACAACAGCAGCTTGTATTTTGAGGCATTAGCCATAAGAATGTCATCATTTCCCCCCTAAATTAAGTTCTTCCCAGAAGGTATTTATGCTTACACACTAAAAGGTTTCGTAAGTGTAACTATCTCCTACCCATACAAAGCCATGAATCATGGTTAGGGGCTGTGTGAGAACGTCTCAGATACGAACAATTCTGGTCTAGATCAACGCAAGTAAATTTCCTCCACAATGTAAGGGAAGGGCTGGAAAACAGGCAGGAGCACAGAATTCCACTTGGCTCCTCCAGAGCTGACTGCGAGGCAGTCCCGAGGGAAGGAGGAGACCTCCTGTCTCCCTACAAAACAAACATCCTGTGGGCTTACAAACTGTGCTGGCATTTTTTCCACAAGGTTTGTAGAGCCAGGGAGTGAAGAACACATCTAGAAATCTCTTTGGAGGCACAGCACATGGCACCTAAGCCTTCTCCTTTCCCTACATTCCCTCTACTCTCCTTTTCCCCTGGAAGAAATTATGATAAATGGCAGAAGAGCAATGCAGATTTAATACTTCCAAATGTTTCCACTCTGAGCACATATGATGGAGCAGCTGTCTCTCTGTCTCAGTATTCTTCCTTAGTGGCCCTCACAGATTCCCTATGCCTGATGGAATATGGATTTAAATATAAAATTAAAGAACCTGTAAAGCAGATCTTTCCAAAAAGAAGGAGGGATTCATGTTTTATTTCAGACTCATCCCTTCAGTGAGATCAGGCTCAGCCTCTCCTGTTACCACTGCACAACCCAGGCCACAGACCCTCTGCAACAATGGCAATTGCTGGTTTTCCTGCTCTTGGCTGATATTTGGAAACTTCACCTTCTTAGAGACAGCATGAAGATAAATACCACTTTTTAAACATTGTGTTTTTATACACAGAGAGGAAGCAGTGCAGAAACTGATCCAGCCCCACTCCCCTGAGCTGGGCCGCTCCTCCAAGAGATGATTCCATAATTTCGGGGCTTTTAATGTGATTTTTTGGTTTGTTGGTTTATTTGTGGGTTGTTCTGTTGGGTTTTTCATCAAGTTCACTCTTACACAGACTTGTAGGTTCTGCCTGAACTCATTACTGAGTTTTTTTCCATTTATAACCCCTTAGTGACATGGCAAACATCATTTTTCTCCAGCCAGCTAATCACGGCTGTAGGTGGATGGAGTGGAACAGTGGGTATGGCAGAAATCTGAACTTTACTCCCAAATATGCCACTGAGTTCTGCCTGACCTGAGACAATAACATCTGGGAGAAGAAGAGGAAAGAGTCACTAGATTCAAGTGAACTTCAATGACACTTCAGTATTTCTGACAACTTCACTTTTATAGCTTTTGGTTTTGTTTCCTTCCTGAAGGAACAGAAGTAGGAAAGTCTGCCTGATTCAGAGCCCTGGGCAGGGAAAGCACCAAGCAAGACTCATCAAGATTTACTGTTTTATTCCCTTGTTTTACTAAGCAGCCCCACACACTGCTCAG